CTGTCTCCCTCCAGTCTTGCGACCCCTCGTAGGTCTCTGGCTAGCTATCCTCTCTAGAGCACTAACCAGCCCCATTGTAGTGTCTGTGCACTACACGAGATGGAATGAGTAACGGTATCCGGCTGGGAACTATGTGAGAAATTCTGAAGCGCAGCAGTGTACACAAGTCTCCACATATGCCATAGTATAGGCGCACATGCCTGGTCAACAACAATATATACTGAAAGTGGAAGGTGCTTCTTCCTGCCCATGATGACGCGCTTGGACGTGATCATGGTCGGTATAAAGCGCAAATCTGCTACATGCTGTTAATACAAAATTGCAGGTAAGGCGGCTCAATGCATAAAATAAAGTGTTGGCTGCAGCTGTTTAAGTGAGCTGATTCTCTAGTTTTTCCAGCAGTCTACGCCGTGAACTTCGTGCTGCGTAGTGTAGACACCTGCCAAGGGTAGCGACGAAGTGACTGAAGTGAAGGTTTTTTCGTCGAATGTTGAATACTTCTGCTGAACGGGGTTCAGAGCATAGCTGGCCACTTGGTTGGGGTTCTTCGAGTATTGATCCCATTGTGTAGCAGGAGGCATCGATATTTAGCTCGAAACGCTGCGTGGACCCGTTGACTTTCAGTCTGATTGTAGTGCGCAGGCACTACAATGGGGCTTGCTGGTGACCTATAGAGGTTAGCTAACTGATGACCTATAGGCGGTTAAGAGGTTGAGACGCGGATTGAGCGCTGTAGCATCTTAATATGGAAATAGAAATGCAATTTATCAACAAATTAACATGCATAGACTAGAAATGCCTGCGAATGCTCTAAGATTGAGGCTGCCGACAACGCCGGCACCGTTGCGCGTCACATTGTACTGCACAGGCACTACAATGGGGCTTGCTGGTGAACTATAGACGATAGCTAGCTAGCGACGTACAAGGGGTCGCAACACTGGAGGAGGACAGGACCCTCCTACTAGTATCAAAGTAAGGCAATTTGCCTATGAATTAGTATGCATGCGTTAGAGGTGCCTTAAAATGCGTGGAGACTGGGGCTGGCGATAGCGCCGTCACCAGTGCAGGCCTCCTCCCCGTAGGGCCTAGGAGGCGAGCTCCCAGAGTGGGGCGACTCGAACAGAGATTTTGAAAAAACTTAAGAATTATTGTATTTCGATAAAATAAGCTACAGTTTCCAGGAAATGGGCCTACGTTAGGTGCCGTTCGTAGGCCCTGCTAGCGGGGCAGGTAGCAGCGTAGTCGCAGCAGTAGGCGCTGTGCACTACAGTTCTGGGGATGACTGAGCTGCCGAGACGCCGAACCACTTTAGGGGCACAGATCCAAACCGAAGACGTTTTCTAGTATCCTTTTCATGGGAAAAAACCGACTAGAAACATGAATTGAGGCTAATTATGTAAATTTAAGGAGTCTTCGCGTGATTTGTCGCGATACTCCTCGCAGACAAGCAGTTGGGTGTATACATAATGGCAGCAGTAAGTCCGCTCGCGCACTATAGCAGCGGTCGTGTACACTGTGTATTCTACATAGGAATAGCAGAGGGCTATTAGGAGTTTACCAATAAAAGAGCAATCCACTGGGCCTGCTAAATCTACAGATTTGTCAGGGCAAGGCTTCAGAGAAGTGGGCGTACGGGTAAGTGCTACATGCTCCCGAACTTGCATTAGATGAGGAGCATTCGGGACACCAGCCGTAAAGGAGCGCCGCGGGTATACTCACAAAACACTCTGCTTCTCTGTCTGGTTACAAATAGTACTCATTTGTTACAGGCGTGAGGGCGGTTTCAAACTGATGCGTAGAGGCCCGATGGCGGCGCAGTTTCGTCGGAGATTTTGCTGGTGCCGGCCAGCTTTGGGGGAATTGCAGATTTAGGCCGAAACTTCCGGCTATCTCGAGGCAGCGAATGCCAAGATTCCGAGGTCCTCCCACGACCACAAAGTACAGCTTCAGCACTACAGCGCGCCCTTAACACTGGTTGAAAGGCGCTTCCCCTGTAGCAAAAGCGGCTTCAAGCTTTCACAAGATCTACTCTGCTGCTTTCAGTGGAGTCATAAGAGTTGTTAAACCTCCACATAGCGACCAGAACTAAATTATGTAATTTAAAAACTACTGTGAGCAAGAGAATCAACGACCATAAAACTTGAAAATTTGAGGAAAAAGTCGGATCCTGCTTTAAGATACCTACCTGTACACTGCTTTTGATGGGAGGCAGTGCGACTCCCCTCTGCCCTAACTTTGACCATTTTCTCTTTGATCACACTCATGGTCTACTTCCGTGTAAATTTAATATCGCAGTCGCATTATCAGAGGACTTAAATCTCCCTCCTCAATATGGGTCCCCTCATACAAGCCAGTCTATATCACTTAAAAAATAAGGGGCTACAGAGTGAAGCCGACAAATTCACGGTCAATGCGAATCAAGCTTGCCTAGCTTGGGCGCTCTGAGGATGCGAGCCTAGAATCTAATATTTGTAAGTTCTTTTAGGTTCTAGGCTCGAAGCCTCACCCTTTCACGCAGTGCTATGCTCAGAAGTTGGGCGTGCCGCAAACTTCATGCAAACGCCCTCTTAACGCCATGTAGCGAAATATTGTTCACATATTGCCCACTGCATTATCATTTAAAATCATTAATTTGCTGATGATTCCAAGATACAAACGCGCAAAATAATGAATGCACAGAGACGGGTTTCGCTGACCCTGCTAGAAAGCCCTCTGTGTGCCCCGTGCTCTAAAAGTTGCTGCCTAAAACATAAGTACACTCACTGAATGGAAATAAAATAAACATAAAAATGTATAGAGGCTCAGAAACATCGGGCGCGGTGATGACAAAACACATGCATTGCCAGGTGGGGCTGTGCTAGTGCTGGTGCAGCGAGGGAGTGTACGTTAGCTTTAAAAAAAAGTCGCCAAAGTAGGTAGAATCTCCTCTTGTCCACTGGCTTCTCTTCCTAAGAAGCGGCAAAATCCTTTGTTGCCTAGCAAGTTCCCGTAATTGACATGAGCTAAACCGTACGGACTCCTCAACACTGGATCTGAATTGTTGCAGCCTCAACCATCCCGAGTCATGGCCCTCACACAGTGTGACGAGTTGTCTCAATGCCATTCTACATTCGAGGCGCCTGTGGGCTCACTCATTGCGTCGCCTTTGGGCGAAGCCACGTGAGATGCTCGAGGATAGCGGCCTTCTTAGAACGCAAAAGTTGGGACTTTTCAGCTTCTACTCCAAATTTGTTGACGATGGCTGCACTGCAGTCGGTCTGCGCTGAAGCTAGAGAAGGAACCCGGCCAGTTACGGTTCTTGGCGGCGCAAAAACGTCACACGGCGGACTCATTGACAAGCAAAACCCAAGCAAGAGCTCCTGCAATGGCTTCAGTACTATCATCAGCGAAAGTGACAGTACTGAGTGCATCGAAGAATCTGAAGGCTGTTGCCAGCGTGAAGTGGAGGAGTCTTTCTCGGTATTTGATGAAATTTGCCGGTTCTCGCTGTCGTCTACCCGCAGCAGCAGGTCTCTACCAGCAACACAAACGGCCATGCCCCTCCACGAGGCAATTAGAACGAAAGAATCAGATTCAGGGGTAGTGAGCGGTACTTTTTCCGACTTGCCTGTCCTTTACCCAAGCTCCAAGACCAAAGAAGGCCCAGCTGTTCTGCTAGCTGTACTTCGTGAACTCGCTGATGCAGGTGTGCGCACCCCGCAAGCTTGGGGGCCGCCTCTTCTCCTCATTTTGAAGCAATTGCCGTTGTTGAGCGTGTCGGAATTGCACCATACAGTTGCACTGCTTGCTGCCGCTGGTTGCCGACCACCGCTGTTGCTACAGGGACTCTGTGAGGCCTTCAGCTGGCGGGCAGCGGCAAAAAGTACTGATGCTAAAAAAACTGTTCTTTTTCTGGATGCGCTGAGAAGACTGAGGTAGGGGCGATAGGTACCACTGCTGGTTGCGAGTGTAAGGCTCTCACCAGGGAATTTAATCTCTTCGGGCACTTTTCAATATCGCTGTCCCTCTCTGATCCATAAATCTAGTATGCTACCTCCTGTTTTGATTTTTCTGTCGTCATTTTCAATTATATCTCTGTGCTTGCATGTGTACCATTCCCCGTGCGCTTTTTCTACCGTCTCTGGGCCGACTTTGGAAGAATGCGCCTGAAATGCGGCCCTGTATCTCACGCGCTAGCTTGCCGCGCAGCGGCTTCTGCTGTTCACTTGTTTGCCATGCCTGCGTTTTGCCCGTATTCTTGCTTATCCCCGTGGTTTTCACCCTCCCCATCATTTTTCATTTGCTCGCATAAATCTCTCTTTTATCTTGTATTCTGGTGCAGTTTTGGTTCTTCATGTACATAGGTATCTTCCTTCGGAACGTCACCTTACTGCCTTCCTTGGTTCACTAGAGAGAAGGCGAAAGCCTCTCACAGTAGGAGATTTATTGAAGATCCAAAGATTTGTTGTAAGATTCTTGCAGACCTATTTTATATGCATAAGCTCTACAGTGGTGTTGTTAGATCTTGAATCTCTGATAGGTTGCATTCTACCACTCTCCGCGCTGTGGTGCCAATTTTCACGTGGAGCCAGATTCTTGTGGCACAGCTGCTCCTTTCCATTGGCTAACCGGTGTTTCATCGGAAACTGCCAAGGCAACTCTGCCCGCATACAGCTGGCAATATCCTCCGAAATCCATAAGCGTGGAACCTGTGAAGGCCTGAGTACTCTACTTACTTCTGCAGTTACGCTGCTCTCGTATGCTGCTGAAGCGAGCAAATGAACTTGTTTGCAATGAACAGCTAATGTAGTAGTGCTGTCATTGTTTCTATTATTGGCAATGTTTGTGCGCGCCTCCGCCACCTGCAGCATTTTAAATTGTGACATGTGGATGTCCCTGCAGTAGTGAAGCTCGCATCAAGATGACAGCTGTGCCTTCGACGTATGTGGCATGCCTGTCCCTTTGTTTTACTAGGACGAGCTGGGCGTCCCCCCTCATCTCGCCTCTGCTCCGTTTTTTGTTTCTATTCTACCACAACTTAAGCGAAACATTGCTGCCCTCAAGCCACCAGAAGCTGCAGCGCTGGCTTCACTCCTGTTGAAGAGAAAAGAGTTGAACCGGTCAGCCACCCACCCAAATTCAAGCATGGGATACACTGTTTCATTTGCTTGCCGTATGTAGTAAAATGATTAAAACAAGTCGAGCAGTCCTTCTCTGTGCACTGATGATGCGCGCAATGCTGCATGTGAAAGCACCAGCACAGCAGCCAATATAAGCACGATCGTATGTGGAAATCGCGGTGTTCTTGTGTAAATCGGTCTAATTGGGCCGTTGTATCAGTGTTTATGCTGCTTTAGAGACACCGCAGAGTCTCTGAGCACTGCAGTATACGAGCATCTTGGAGGAACATCGTCGTTTTTGCTGTTGCAGCAGAGAGCTGCCTCCATGGAAGGAACACTACAAAATTCACTGTACACGCAGTGGCGCAATATCTCAGAAGGACATGAACAAACACTGCAACAACGGCGGGAGCGTGTGGCTTTCCGCTCGTCGCTTGCATCCCTTCTTCACTTAGGGAAGAGTCTTGCTTCAGCAGATCTCAAGCAATTTCCGGTTGCGTATAGCTGGGTGAGACCCCAATGTGTCCCTTCAGTGACAGCTGACGAGCTGAAGCGCCAATCCATGCTGTTCGCCCGCGATCTCAACTGAATGCAACTTGGACGCGTCATCTAAGCAGATGGTAGAGGAACTTTGGTGCTGATGAATTGACCGGAGCGGCGGCGTGGAGAGACACGCTTGCTATTTCTTCATGTTCGACTGTGCTCCCTGGATTTGGCAGGCACTCGAACGAGAAATAGAACTCCACTGGTCAGCGATGGCCCCAGCAGAGGTCTCTGCGGTCCTCAGGTAATCTCAGATCTCAGTGGTTATTTTTTCCCCTTGCGCTTTGTTGTGTCTCGTTCTCTCATCCAGCAGCTTGTTAAGGACATTGTTCGTTTGTCCCTGAGTGCGTCCCACCCCTTCAACCCCGGCATGAGGGCGCGAGGCCGCAACTGCGTCTCCGTCAACATGATTTGGTGGAAAGCATCAGTACTTTAAGAGTTTTTCTTACTTGTTGCTCACCGAGGGTTTCTTGTTATCTGCCGCTTTCGTTGTTTCAGGCTTCTGGCGAGGATGAAATATCGACCTACATCCGCACTAAATAAGCTCGGGGTCTCCTTGCAGCGCAACATCCACCTTTACACACCGGACATGGTGACACTACCATATACTCAATCTTACGTACTCTCTTGGCAATTTTGCCTTTCCGTTTGCATCCGGACCTCTTCGTGCTTCCATTTATGCGCATTTGCCCCATTTTCGCGTAGTTATTTTCTTCGCCTTTCTTTTTCTGTGCTTTAGTTACAACCTCATTGTCTGCTGCTTCCTGTGAGCACCATATGCTCATCGGCCAAGTAGTCTGTCACATCTGATTGGCCGCTAATCGTGGCGCCTCCGCTACATTCTTTGCCTCGCGACAACGCGCTTCTCTTTAATGGCTACAAAGGAATTTGTTGAGCCCATAGTGGGCTCCATGCCTCACTCGATATTCCCTTTGCTGTTAATTTGCGTTTGCGCTGCTTGCGCCCTTGGCATTTGTTGCTGCCTGCAGTTGTCAAGCTGCCTTTCAAGCTTAGACTCGCTGCTCTACACTCACTATCCTTTTCTCACCTCGCTTTCCGAGCTTTTACTACAGAAGCAGATCATGTGTAAGCAAGGGTGCCTCTGCGTTGCACTGTTCGGCAGCTGCATGCCCACGTATACCATTGCATCTGCTGCTGAATAGCAGCAGGTGCTGGTTGGCGCTCGAGTCCTTAATGAGCTTCTCCTTTTGGCTTGAGGTCTCTGTGCGCCGCAGCTCTGTGTCGGCTATCTCGACGGCACGAAACCAATAAACGGCAAAAAGCTGAACACCCGCAACCGTCTCTTCGGTTTGTGAGCCAGCTGCCAGCCGTGTCTGCAACCATGCCAACAACAGAGACAGGGGGTGGATCAATACCAGTAGCGTCAGCAGCAGCCTCTCCGTCGCAGCACAATTTGGCGCATCTAGGGCAGCAGGGAAATAGAAAAGGTGCAATGACAGTGGGACTGCCGGGTCGTCATGAAGCTGAGTCCCTCCAGCCGCTCCTTCCCAATTCGCACCTTCCCCCACCACTAATTGTTGAAGGCCGTAATAGCGGACAAAATACATCTGGGAAATTTTCTCGAGTACAGCTGGAAACGAAGTCGCAGGAGTCATGCAGTTGCATTGTCCATGGTCGTGACTTAATGGAAGAAAAACAGAGGCAGTCAGAGCCCCTAGGGACACAGAGAAGTCCTTCTGTGGAGACGTTGGATCGCAAGCAGGAGAACGATTTGCAGAGACAGGGCGGTGAAGCTGCCCTAGCAACTCCTGAGGGTGCAGCTGACCCGTTGCGTAGCTCTGTCAGCGTAGACCCATTCCTTGCTGCAGCGTTGTTGCGGCATCTTGCCCACACGCAAAACAAAAAAAACCCACAGTTGATATCTGGACTGCTCGCATCTGTTGCTTTGGCCGCTACAAGGTTCGGGCAGCAACAGCAGCATCTGATACGGCAACAATGCTCAACCCGGCTTGAGAAGAATCGTTCTCTTTTGGTAGACGGATCAGAGAAGAGTTGTTTATCAGGTGCGGAAGCATCTATGAATATTACTCCTAGCTGTGATAAACACGCAATTTCTGCAAATGTGGCAGCTTCTACAATACAGACTGCATCAGATGTAGGAGCAGCGAGCGCTGCGGTTGCGGTTAATGGACAATACGGCTTCGCCATGGGCACCCATGAGTTGTGCAAAAGCCGGACAGTCTCTGCTTCGGCAGCCGCAGTAGCGATAAATGACCACGGCGAGAACTTGTTCAGCTCCAACAGGATGAGCCATGCTCCACTTATCAAGACCTGCCGTGAACAGCCTCAAGCAGAAGAACTGGAGACTACTGCGAAAACGCTCCTTGAGACACAGGAATTAGCTAGAACAGGTCAGCGGCCCTTAGGCGCCGTTATCGTCCCCACAGGCCTTGATGCAATAGAGAGGTTGAGGAGGCGCGGGTTGCACAAGAGCTTAGAATTTGTAACTTCGCCATGGAGCAGTTTCATATCTCAGTTTGGGAGAGTTATTGATGTTGACTTGGATGGCTCAAGGTTGAGCAGCAACAGACGACTGGCTGCAAGAGACCGCTCACTGGAGAAGGGCTTTTTGCCGGCAGGAGCTGAAATTACGCGAATTGTGACACGGCGGGAGGCAAGCAGACGCCACGCACTCGTTCATGCGCACTTGTTTTTAACAAACGCTTGCTTTAGTTGATTGGCTCCTGGTGCATCTTCGACTTGTCATGAAGCTGCACAGTAGCTTGGTTTTGCTTTCCTGCCGTCTGCGCCATTTGTCCAAACGTGGCTCTCATGGGCACGGATGGGGCCCATTTGTTTTCGAGTGTTTCTTCGTTCCCTATGTGTATCGTTTATAAATTTTACAGCCTCAGCACACTTTTGGAATGTTGATTTTTGAGGAAAACGGGACTGTTCCGAAGTGAGATAATGGGTGGGTGGGGCCTGGGCGTCACTCCCGGCTAATGAATATATGCGTGTGGTAGGCTCTTTTCTCAAAAGTTTATCGTATATGGGGATACAGAGGACCCCCAAACCTCCTCAGGCTTCGTCGACGCCATATACGACGTTTAATCACTCGCGCCAATGCTGCGAAGGTGGCTGCTTCCCGACCATCAACAAAAATATTCGGCTCGAGCAATCTCCAGGAACTTTGTACGGATGGGAAAAACGCAGTGAGAAAGACGCCTACTATTCCTGCGGAGACGGCAACTGCATGCACCAGAAGGAAGAAGACCGTTATATACGGAAAGGTAGAAACAGCGAGTGAAATGTCCTGCTTGTTTTGTTTCGTGTCGATTTCAGCGCCAAAACGCAGAATCGTGAAGTCCTGTACGTGAAAGAAACTAGTCAAAATGCCTCACGGTGACGGCGAAGTCCGGATATGTGGCTAGGCAACAAGTTTGGTTGTGAACAGCTTTTGTCTGTTCTCAGTGTGCTTTGGACACGATGCGGCGCTGGTCCTGCTGCCGACGCGCTTTCCTTCAACCCTTCCAGCTGGCGTCTCAACAGTCCCTCGCTCCACCGACGGTTAGCGGAGTATCGGTGGGGCGTGCTAGGAGCAGTGCAACTGACGGGCAGGCACAAGCTCGCCGTCCCAATGAAAGGGTTCCTCCCCCGCAGGAGCAGGTGATGCGACTGCCGCAGCAGCACCATTTCCCCTTCGGAATTTTTTTTGGGGAGGCTGGAAAGAAGCAGGAACTGCTTATTGATCCAGGTCCTTTACTTCCTCTGACTTTTCCAGAACACCTCTCCCGTTCTCTGAGGAGACAAATACAGCGCCAGCATAGCATGAAATTGAGAGATGCAAGACAGTTGCAACAACTGTTAATGCGGCAAAAGCAGTGGCCGCAGCGCGGACTAATCCAAACCAAGGAACCACCGCTTGAAACGAGCGAGGCGATTTTAGCCGCAGAAGCAAACGATCCGCTAGCCCTTCAGCAGCATGTTCTGCCATCAGTGCAGCATTCTACAATGGAGTCCAATTCGCTGTTGCACCAAGCGGCCTCAGCGCCAGCTTTATCAGATTTTCCGCTTGAGAAGGCAAGGGCGAGGAAGAAGGAACGGCAACGGAGTCGCCTCCTACATGCCACTGCAAACAGTTTAGCGGCTGCAGCCAACATGAGGCTCTTGACATTAAGGATTGCAAGACCCTTTGTGACGCAGCTGCCTCTGCTCTGCGCAGACACGCCAGGTGTAAAACCAACGACAGTGGCAGTAGAGAAGGACTTGAGTGCGTGCAGCGCCTCAGCTGTTGCTACGTTGCAGACACTTGGTTTGCGCCTAGGTGGCGCTTTCAGCTGCACATATTCAACGCGACGTAGAGCTGCACGCCCTCCTACGTCGGATTTGGCTGTTGTGAGGGAAGAAGTTCTGCTTTCACTGGAAGCGGCCTTAAGGTGAAGACTGTATGCTATCAGTTTTGGCGAATTCAGTAGGGGTGGATATTCCTGCAGGGGCTCTAGCTATGCTTGACTGGAGCATAGGTTTTTTTTGTTCTTATTCACAGGAGTCCGCGATTTCTTTCACTGTGGAGGCAAGTAGGAGCAGATGGTTCCCCTTGGGAGCGCGCTTCAACTCGGAAGACAGAAAACTTGACGCCATGCGAGAACCTGCCCCTACTGCTGTCGCAGGCAGCATATTTATATGCAGTTGTGCTCCAAGCTCTAGTCTACGATATGCAAGGAGGATCAATGTCGTCCAGCGGATTTTGTACGTGGAAGCAACAGAAACAGTATGTTTTGCATTTCTGCGGCGTAGTAGCAAAGGCCCTCTCTGTGATAGGAGGCACGGCGGTTCTCCCCGACTCTCTTCCTCTGCATACATATACGCTTAATGCCTGCCGTTGCCTCTGCACGGCTATTACTGTTGGCTGGAACGTACCCAAGGAGCAGTCGTCGGGAGAAGCGGTACTGCTAGCTACGTTGCGGCGGACAGAGACAGCAGTCATGCAAGCGTTGGAGCAAGCCCTGATGCAAGGCCATGCCGCCACCGCGGAACTTCTAGTAACGAGGAATGCGAGATATATGTGCTCTGCACTTGTTGCAGTGGTGCTAAGTCGTCAGTCTGCATGCAATGCTGTACAGATGTCTTCGACAAAGGCAGTGCCTCAGACTGGGAGAGCTCTCCATCCCACCGCCCAAAAGTTAGCACGTGAAATGAAACTTAAGGAAATGGTCATACAGAGGTGGGTAAATGAGACTTCTGCAGCAGAGCGGCTGCCGTTGCAGCGCTAGACACTGCGCTAGATTTTCACGGCGTCGCATTTTTGAGGAGCATACGAGCAATAACGTCCAGAAGTTGCTCCACTGCCTGCCTCCAGGGCTGTCAGCCACAAGCAGCACCTTGGTGATTTCGTTTATTGATCGCCAATCGGAACCTCCCCGACTATATAATACGGTGCTGGTTTGTCGCTGTTCCACTAGCATTGTTACATAGATTCGTGTGCTGCTTACAATCCAAGTTCGTACACGCCAAGATGTTCAAAGCAGTGACGAAGAGTGGGAAGTGAGAGGCAGTATCTAAATTTGGTCACGCCTCCGGAGTCTGTGGGCGAGAACGCTGCCTAACTGCCGAGCAAGCTACTGCTTGTCAACAACCATAGTAAGCAGCTCACGGTGGGAAAGAACCACATCCTTCGAGGCCCGTGGATGCTCATGCATTTATCCTCATCCTTCAATTCCTCTAGTCCTTTACAAGAAGCTACCCGTGTTCACTTTCCACTGACTGCCGCAAGGCCAAACATTGATCTGCTCAGCATGTGGAATCCCTTGCATGGACTGTATGAAGTGGGAATTACGGAAGCGGGCTTTGGTTCGTGTGGGTGACAAAAGAACTAGCAGGCCTAGAATGATGCACAAATAGAGAACCATAGGATACTCTTGGATCCTCGTGACTTTGATAGAAAACCGAAGGCATCACAGATCAGGGCAAATGCGCAGCAAATCCATTGGTGCAATGCAGATCGTAAGCATCCTCACACCCTTTCAGCATGCGAAATTTTCATGAGATGCTCTCCTTTAAACAAATATCCAGAAACAAAACATATGCTGCCTGCATGGTCGAAAGTGGTGGAGCGAGCCTTCCGTCCAACCAGATTGATGCACGTGGGAGTATTCGCCTCAAAGACAAACTCAAACTGATTACACGGTGCTGACAGTACAGACGGGCCCACTTTCAGACCTCCGTCTCCGCTTTGTACATCATGTCCTCCAGATTATCAACCAGAAGACGCAACTTGGCAGCTTCCGCTGCAGCGTCCCCCAATGTTCGGGCATGTTGTACGCTCCTTAGTGCCTTCTCGTAGTTCTGCAGCTGCTGAGGCTCATCTCTCGATTCCCCCGCCTGCATCCCGCATCTGTCGGATTTTAACTTGGCAAAGCGAGTGTCTAGCTCTTCTAAATCCTGTTCTAAGAGTAACATGAGATTGTAGCTTGCAAGAAGCACCATTGCCCTCCGTTCTACTTTAATGAGTGCCTCCATTGCAAGGGAAGCACGATTTGTGTACACACTTACAGCTGCCATGCGCTTTGTCTCCATGAACAGTTCAGTCAGTGTTCCCAACTCCTTGCAAAGTGCTTCAGCATCGTTCACTGCCGAGTTGATGCCATCGACCAACTGAGTCTTTATGTCGCTGCTTAGACGTTCCTTGCGTATGGAGAGCTCCAGTCCTGAATGTTGTCTGGCCTCTTCAGAAATAGCGAGTATCGAAGAGGTGAGCAACTGGCACCGAGCTTTGACTCCGCTTGCAATATGCCCAATGATATGCATTCCTTCTTCATCCAAAACTTCCGGTGGGGCAGGGAGGGAGCGCAGAAGCTCCCAACACGAGCCAAGATTCAACACTATTGGCTGTTCAGTAGAGGCGGCAGCCACGGCAGCCACATGCAATGAGCCAGGACTTCTCGTGCTTTCCAAGTTCTCCAAGATTCTGCGATGTGCAGAAATCAACTCGGCAGTTTCCCTCACGAGCTCATCTATCCATTCTAACTGTGTTTCTGCTGACGAATCAGCAGTACTTGCGGATAGTGTGTGGCCCGCTTGAAGCTGTTTCTTCACAAGTGCTGCGTAGGCCTTCACGGTGTCTAAATCAGTCTCGGCGAGATATCTGAATTTCGTCCTGGCTGCCAGCTGCTGAGTTCTTCCTACTTCCGCAATTTTGCGGACTACCTCAATAGCTGCAGCAAAGCTCTTGCTGCGTGTTGCGATAGCTTCGCGGAAACAGTGTAGGTCCGCTGCCGCAGCCCGTAGCAAGTTTCCGTCCCTTTCGTCTTTAAAACGACGACCCATGGAAAGTCTGGCACTTGCAAGTTGCAGCCTCAAGGAAAGCCTCACCGAGCTCTCCCGAAGAGACCTAATCGTCTTGGCAAACGGCTTGATTATTCTGATAGTTTGCCTTGTCAGCAAAGTCTCTACTAAATTTTTTTCTTCCCATCCACTCATTAAGTCCGTAATGGACAGGCTTTCACGACCCACTACAAGCGCCTGCGCCTCCTGGATTGCCGCCTCATGGAGAAGACTCAAGGCCTTCACCGATGAACTTATAGACGCGTGAATACTTTCCGGCGTTGCACCGTTGATTGGGCATCCTACGCTTTCCTTGAAGGCCAGCAGCAGATTTCGGCCTTCGGAAGTGCCCACAGCATGGGCGAGGTCCTCTGCGACTGGCAGCAACCCACGGAGTGCCCTAATCCTTTGACGCGGTTCTTCTATCTTCGCCGCCTCACAAGCTGCATTCTGATTATGCAGCCTACCGTTAACATTGTCATCAGGTCCGGTTCCAACTGGCTTCCGTGATACGGGCAACCGTGTAGCTGCCAGTGAAAACAACCCTACGCATATGAACAAAGCTAAACAGGCGCGTACTTTCTTCAGAAAGCTGCCAAAACCTCGAATATCCGCACCACCGACAACAGCGGTCGGTTCCACAGCCGCTATTTCTGTGGGTGATCCTTCATCTGCCACTTCAAACGGATTCAAGAAATCGCTAGCGTCGAACGTTGACCGGAATGTGTCGTGCGTAGTCCCATTGGTGTTTTCGACGTAACCGCCGGTGAGCGCTGACGTATAGTGCTCGCCTACCTGCTGAGATGCTGCAAAAAGACCTTCCTGCTGCTGCAAAGCAGAAGCTAAAATTGCCCAGAATACCGAAGCCCTTATCTTTTCTTCCTTTCGCCTCACGGACAACAATGCCATTGGCGATTCAATCAATTCCAGGAGTTAAAATAATGCAGAGCTGTATCCGGTCAAGTATCCAGAACAATGGAAACAGGGGAATAAACAGTTAGCGGGACCGCCAGAAGCCTGGGAGGTGAGGGCGGCACCGTCATTAAGCAACGGGTAGCTTGCGAAAAGCCAACAGCAAAAATACGCATAAGGCAGCACTTTTACGTATGCGTGTTGCTTCAAAAATTAAAAAAAAAGGCCTCTCCACAGCGACAGGAGGAGGCAGTCCAGATATCGAGCACACGGTGTCGAGGAAAGTGAGCGATCTCCAAGCTAAATGACAAGCGGACGGTAAGTAAATATAAGGAGATCTAGACCTGGAGGGCGGTAAGTCAGCCTATCACCTTTCCAAAACCACATGAATTAAAAGTGTAATGAATCGTATGCAATGAGGTGGCAACCGGCACAGTTTTCCACAGTGCTAGCACAATCGGGCTTCCTGCAATCCACCACTGCACGTCATAAATCACAAAACTTGCTTAAGAAGTCAATAGGTATGCTATGGGAATTTTAAAACTTGAATATGCAGTGTGGTAACAAAAAATGCTCAAAGAAAAGGACAGGCAAACATCCAGTGGTGCGCATAGGTTATCTGTGCAAGTGAACCACATCGCATTTAGAATCATGGAATTTCCCCAAATTCAAAGTGGACTAAAAATTACCATGCCCAAATACACGGAAAAGCTCCTAGAAGCTGAAGTTCCCTGACGAGAAGCAAGCATCAACGGCAGCGCAAGGCATCATCGTCCCTACAGAGGCCACTAGTAGCGTACGTGGGGAACTTGGCAGTGTAGAGAATGCACCGGCGTATATTCGGCAAGCAGTTTGGTACCTAAAGTAAAACGTATCTATCGCATATTTAGTATTTGACTTTGTCATTTCGGAAGGCTATGTAGCGCAGAGTGTCCGCCAGTGCACTGGTCTCGTAGCTTCTTCATTGAGGTGCCAAGTTTACCCTACACGACTAACATCATTCAAGAGCATAACTGAAGAGTGTGAACCAATTTTTAGAGCCTGGAGTTCTTATTTAAGAAAAAACTGAACGTTCCTACGGTGAGATACCGTGCTGTGCACCCACCGCCAGTTGTAGCAGGCTTTTGCAGCTACAGTTGGAGAAGCTACACGATGCCAGGGCCCTATCTTTCGGCAGAATATATGCTTTAAATTGCTTGGTTCTTGTTGTTATACTTGAATAGTCTTTTTGGGGTTGATTTCATGCCGTATCATGACGAAGCTACTCTTACGGCACCAGCCCCTTCGAGTTTGGAGGGCACAAGCCCCCGAGTTTGGGTGGTGAAATTTCATACTTTCCTTTAAAATTCATCTCTTACTAAGTGAGGCCAATAGTGGGCCGCCCACTGAGGCTAACTGCAGGACAGAACCGACAACCGACTACGGTGTGGCAAACTGCGACATAGGTTTCCTGTCAAACGCCAAGTACAAGGCATAAAACCATGTACGGAAAGTAGAGAAAGTTTTCAATTTTCCCAACGCCTTCCAGTTTAGCATTTCCGGGATGAGGGGCGTGAAGGCAGTACTTGCAAACCAGAATAAGCGGAGCACGAAGACTTCAAGTTGCCCCAAGTTATCAGTAAATCTGAGATACTCTCCCACTTCATCTGGGGGAGATATAACCCTGAGGCTACGTGTCTCCGCTTCGACGCCCAGAAGCCTCGGGGCCGTATGGGGGGCACTGGCTAGCGCGCCACCTTACTCACCAAAAGACTACAGCACGTTCTAAAATTGTATGGACTGCATAACTACAGCAATAAAAATTAGGTAACTGTATAGGGGGAAAGAGGACCGCAAGTTTTGTGCCTCTTGTGCAGTGGACATCAGTGAAACAAGAGCGTGCAACACTTGAAATATGAAATAGCCTCTTTGAAGTCCAAAGTGGGTGCGATGTGTCGGCAACAATTGGCCAACCAACCTTTCAAGCTAATTCAAAAATAAGAATATTCCCCCTCAGTCTAGAGTCTATGGTGTTGCCTGATTGCTGCTTATTGGGACTGTTCGGATAGGCGAAGTGAAGCTCCCCCACAAGCGCGATGAGAAGTGCAGTAAACAGGCACTACAATAGGGTTTGCTGGTGACCTTAAGACGGTAGCTAAGTGGTGACATCTAAGAAGTTAAGAGGCTAAGATGCTGAAAGGGCGCGGAAAATTCTAACTGGTAACGGAGCAAGGCAATTTTTAGCAAAATAGCATGTACAAACTACAAGTATCTGCGAGTAGACGAAGATTGGGGCTGGCGATGACACCGGCACTGGTGAGTGTCACCGCACCAACCAGGCCACCAAAAAAAATCTATGAGTGTGCGACGCGATCGAGAATTTGAAAGGTGACTCTGGAAGAATTATATTAAGGGATGGTAGGATATGAATCATCAGAACCTTCTTTTTTAGGAATTTCTAAATATTCTAAATTTATATATATGATAAAAGATAAAATACGTTATAGAACTATAGGTCGTTGTACTGAATTGATGCGTGACTGCTTTTTTAACAGTTGGGAATTGTCTATGAAAAATGTGTCGAATGTAGAGAATTTGTTAGAAGGTCGCCCTATCTGTGCGCCAGGTAGTAACCTAGTAGCAGCAGAGAACGCTGCGCAGTACAACATTTCCCCAATAAGTGGGCTGATGGTATGGCGGTTGTAGCGTTGGGGTCGGATGCCGGTGAAGCCAAACAAATGAAGGCATCGCACATTGGGGGTGAGTTGCCACTGAGGAAATCCTCGTTCGAGGAAGCTTCTGGGGGTGTGTTGAGTGGATTTGCAGTCGGTCAAGAGGAAGGCGAACAGCTGCAAGACCCCGAACGGGGCGGTATAGCTCAAGGTTCTGTGAGCTGCATACCCACGCGGCGAGGGAGAAACCCCGGAGCAGGCTTCTATGGTTTAATTTCTAAAAACGGGGAGTAACATTGATGTAGTCTTGGCTCTCTCAATGTTTTACTATGCTTTGTGTTACTAGGGATAAGTGTGATTCCGGGAAGCTAGAACAAGACAGACCGTAGTGAACGAGGCTCAATCTAGCTCCTACCGAGAAACCCTCCTTGTCTACGAACGTGTAGTGATTCCGGGAAGCTAGAACAAGACAGACCGTAGTGAACGAGGCTCAATCTAGCTCCTACAGAGAAACCCTCCTTGTCTACGAACGTGTAGACACGCCACGTTAGCAGCGTAAAAAACACCAGAAAAGCCCCTAAAAAGCATACTAGTTACTGCAGCTGCTCTGTGGTTTTTTAAAGGAGACCCTTCTGTGTTCATTGGTGTGCACTGCCGGCTGACTGACAATGCACTGCGTAGGAATGCAGTATTGCGCAGACACAACCTCGAATTGCAGATTACAATACTTACTGTTGTAGCTGTAAAGCTTGATTCGAGAAAAGGCTCATCCTCGTCGCAGACTAGGCTTTTGGCCTTCTGTAGATAAGCCAGGGGATTGGGCTGGCGGTGCCACTGCATTGCACAGGCACTGCAATGTAGGTGTTGCGCGCGCTTCGAGAGGACGCCCCTGACAGGCTCCCTAAAGGACTGCCAGTGAAGCGCCCGCATGATCATCACCTTCTAATATTAGCTGGGAAGCTTTCTGCAAAACCTACTATTTACCGTGCGATTCTAGATCAGCTGCAATTTCACAAACAGGAAATCGCTGAGTTGTCTGCTAGTGATTTTATATGGCCCCTATCTCTGCCCCCAGGATGATGGTGGATAAACGAGACGATGGAACAGCGGAGCCAGAAGATGCAAATGGTCGTTAACTATCAAGCGCTGAATGCCCTTATGATAGCCCCTGGCTTCCCGTCACCTCCTATCCAAACTACACTAAACATGCTGGGAGGCGCAAACTACTTTCCCACTCCTGACCTGGAAGCAGAGTCTCATCAGATCCGTATGGCTAAGGAGGATCATCAGAAAACGGCCTTCTATTCTGTCTTCGGTCTCTTTGAATACAAAGTCGTGCCATTCCGATTGAAGGGTGCCCTGCTACGCTTCAAGCCAATGCCAACGCCTATCTGCAATCTCTGTCAGGTTAGGGTGTCATGGAGTACCTTGGCGACGTTCTGATAGACAGTCCTGACCTCCGTAGTCATACTACCTGTAGTGCGCAGGCACTACAATGGGGCTTGCTGGTGACCTATAGAGGATAGCAACTGATGATCTATAAGCGGTTAAGAGGTTGAGACGCGGGTTGAGCGCTGTAACCTCTTACTAGGGAAATAGAAATGCAATTTACCAACAAATTAACATGCATAGACTAGAAATGCCTGCGAATGCTCTAATATTGGGGCTGCCGACAACGCCGGCACAGGTGCGCGTCACATACTAACCGGACCAGCACAGCAAGAACAAGAAATGACTTTTATGAAAATATGGTTAGAGAACTCGAAACAAACGGTTTTTCGATACATCTGTAGACGTTGTGCGACCGATGCATTGGTAGTAGAGAATATTTCATAGAACGCCCGAGTTGTGGGCAGTGCAGCATCGTAGACGCTGCAGAGAACGCAGTGTACTACACTACCCTCTTGCGGCAGGTGCCAAGCATCTTCCTCAAGCACCAGTTCTATCCGCACAATCTAATAATACTAAGATAATTAAACCTGCATCGGATAAGATCGAAGTCGTATGGGTATGGCCGGAGGTGTTGGAGAACGAGCACAAGTGCGATAGTTCCTCAGTACCGCAAATTATTGTCATATGTTCATGGGACCGGATTATGCTGAGGTTGCCAGCCCGCTCGTTGACCTCATATGTAAGGATGCTCCCTTTCAGTGGACAGAGACTCATACACGGGCGCTGCGTCAGTTTAAGCAACGGTTAATTGAGTATTCTTCACCACAGTTCCCCGACACCTCGCAGCGTTTCGAGCTATACACCCATGCCTCAGGCTACACCATCGACTTAGTACGTGAGCAAGCCAGCAACCCCATCGGATTCCTCAGCTAGGTTATGAAGCCCACTCAACAGGAGGACCCCATCTACGACCAGGAACATCTGGCGTCGGTAACTGCAATTGGCAATGGGTCCCACTTACTCTGAGTTGCCAAGGTTACAGCGTTCGCTGATCATCAAGCGCTTGCCCACATGCAACAGCTCAAAATATCGAAGCCTCTGCGCGAACGCACAGCAAGGTGACTTGATTCCCTTGCCAACCTCTCCTTACTATCACGTACTTGCGGGGAACACCGAACAACACCGAACCACGTGGCAGATGCACTGTCACGACATCCCTTCTATACACCCTCACGCCAACCAAAAATGCGCCGAGCACCCGTGAAACCCTCAGCTGGGTCATTAGTTTCCCTTGTGTTGGCTCCCGAACAAGCAGAGCCGACGAAAACACCAAGGGAAGACAGAGCAACTACTGGGGGCTTGCCGGCCTCCGATCCTTCCTGCTTAGGCCGCACCCCACGACACGCTCGCCCAAGACACAGGAACCAAGCCTAGCCGTTGCGGAACCCACACCAGCGATGCCACTGAAGAGCGGTGCTCCTACAGTCTGGGATTGGACAGCAGCCTATCAAAAGTCTCCCGTTTTTCGTGACTCTGACAATGCCGCGGCTCAACAAATGGCGACGTTTGCCCAATTCGAGTTGCACGATCGTCAGCTTGCTTTCCGTTTTATGGCCCCTCGCTCGAGGGTCTACATTCACGGCTTGTGTCGGACTTATGTTCATCAGTTCCCTGAGTTCCTCACACACGTTCTTTACACCTACCAGGAATATATAACCGCAGGCAATCGAGGCTACAAGAAGACATTCCTGGTCCTGAGCAAATACTGCTATTCGCCAGGCATGCGTGTATACAATAAGGCGTACTTGGAGTCATGCACACACTGCCGTGTATCTAAAACACTGTCAGAAACCTGCGCGCCTCTTTCAACAGCTCGCCACTCCCTCACGTCGGTGGAGTCACGTGAGTCTCGATTCCATTACTGATCTGCCTCCCGCCACGGCGGGGATTGGTTCTATTCTCGTGTTGGCCGAGTCACTCAGCAGGACTGCTTATTTTGTCACTGCCTTGGATACTGTGAAGCGTTTGGATAATCGCCTTATTCTTTACCATGAATTTCTCGAAGTGCTTATTTCTCGCCGTGATCCTCGCTTGCAGTCTGAGCTGCGACAAGCACTGTGCACCCGCTTCGAGATCAAGGGTGATATGTCTTCATCCAATCTTTTCCAGAGTGACGGACACAATGCACGCTTAAGCAGATGCTGAGGACCTATATTCAATCTGACGACCGAGAGTGCGAGCGGTTGATGCTTGCAGTCGAGCTGGCGTACAATACAACTAGTCATTCACCCAATGAGCTCTCCCCCTTCGAGGATATAATTGGTGCAATCCCACTTACAGCAGCCGGCCTCGACGTCGCCGGCGCATTGCCTTCTACGCTCACCCGTCACATGACGAATCTCTTCTGGGAGCTCTGCGACAGGGCACATAGTCTATATTCTGCGGGCAAAGTGGATCCAGAAAATCTACACGGATTCCTGTAGGCCGAGGAAAATTTTCAGTATAAAGAAGGTGGCTTAGTAATGCACAGGCACGACAATGGTTCCTCAGTACCCCTGTAGTAACCTATTCCGAGGAAACAACATGATATAATGCAGTATTAGTGGTAAGTCAGGTCAATTAGGCAAAATATCGGGCCAACTAGAGATGAAAGCCAGCTAGATATGAGCGTCAAGCGGTTAGGAGCGCCAAGGGGCTAGGAGCCCCAGCTGCCTATTAGGGTTTTGGGACTGGCTGAGCTGCCGAGACGCCGGCGCACCTTAGGGGGTTGGAGTGAAGGCTGTTTGTAGTCTCCTCTTCATGGAAAAAGCGACTAGTGACATGACTGGAGACTAACAATGTGGATTTAAGAAGTGTTTTCGTGATCTGTCCGGTTGCTTTTCGCAGAGAAGCATTTAGTTGTACACGTAGTGGAAGCTGTGGGTTCGATTGCGCACCCAGGCTCTCCAGTTAGTGCAAGCGTTATTTAGCAAAGCGCTGGAAGCATACGCAAGCTAAAGTCGTAAAGCACCAACCAAATAAAGAACTGATCACGGGAAAAGATTAAAGCGAAGCCATTCTGCGAATTGCGCTCTATCTTGTTGGGGCGCACGATTCTCCAAGAGCAAGTACAAAACTCTTTGATATCAGGCTCTTCAAGAATTCCCAAAGCAGCTCAGTTCCGTACATGGTGATGCTTCAGGAGAAGCACTGAGGGAGAATACTACTGCTGTGGAGGCGGCCGCGAAAAGGTTTTGGTACAGCATTCAATTCAAGAGCTCCCATGGGGAAAGAAAATAAAACTATTCCGCAAGCAGAGAACCCTCAGCACGCTAGCAAAAAGCCTGTGAAGCCGTTCTTTCGAGGCCAGCACTACCTTTCTCTGAATCGCATTATAAATATTTAGAGGCGCTTAATGTCGTATCGCGACAACACGGTCCTGTCAACGCGTGACACGCAAGGTCACCGGTCTGGGGCCGTGTTGCGAGTGCAGGCTAATTAGTTACTCCAGTCAGCCGAACTAATGAAGCATGGAGTAGAAGCACTTGAAATAGGCTGTAGTAGCTGAGATGCTCGAAGTTTCGTCCAGACCAGATGAAAGTAAAGACTCTCCAGCTTTTTCGTCTGCTTTGTGAGCTACTATTGGCCAGGCGCCCTCTATGAAAAAATTTCATGAGGGACAACGCTTTATCCAAGTAGAGCGCTTAAAGCTTGCTTTTGTCAAGTGTCTTAAGCATAATAGCGAACCCTGTGTAAAAATGTGCTCACCATGCGAAGGGCTGCCTGACCTGGTGAGCATCTGCAGTAGATATTCTCAGCGCGGTGGAGTACGCAACTCTCTTTCTCATGCTACATCGTACGAGTAGCCGGAGATGCATTTAGTCGCTCTATTACATTTTCACTATAGGGCGCCGTCAATGCTGGAACTAGCTTGTTCATTTTTCAAGTAAAAACTGCTTTGCCTTCCCTTGTTTTACGGTTGTGTCTACTCTAGAATCCTAAGGAGCCACCATGTCACATATATATGTAATACACAGCACCACATGCACAACAAAAGAATGAAACACTGAACGACGATACGGATGTATTACAGAAAGAAAATAAGCGAGGCCGTAACAGAGAGTGGTGCTTCAACAGATATCGCGAAGAGCCCAGTTCCGTGTAGAGGAGCTTTAGAAGCTACAGAGAGGAGCTGGGCGCCTAACGTTTGCATCCTAGTACAGTAGATCAATAAACGAGCATCTCGCAGTCAAAATCCATGAGGTTACAAGTTCGTGTACGACATCCGCAATGCAGGAAGAAACATCCATCCAAATGCCACACTAAATCGAACCCCACAGTGAGTTTCGGAGGAAACCCGTCCTATTTATCTCATTAATTTTGAGTCCATCACATTCAGGCACTTCGCCTTTACAGAAGAATTATTGGTAACAGTCAGGAGCACGTCAGAGCTTGTAGCTCGAGTTGAAGCGCTCCCGTGCTCTGCCGATCACAACGCATTGTATTAACTAACGAACGTTTTCCCGGATGTGGCAGCATTACACGACCAGAGGTAAGCACCGTCAGGTGAACTATATCCAATGCAGTCTTACACATCGTTGCCGAAACTGAAGTGTTAGGTACACGCAGCGGCCGTAGCTAACATAATCGAGTACTGCACAGACTGTTGCACACAAGCGCCTACTATACACATTCGCTGTTCTTGGCATAGTAAAAAAATATCCCTTTTCGAATTAGTTAATATCATCTATAGTTCAAACTAAAATAACTGGACAGGCACGGATATTTTGTCGAGAAGAATAGTAATTAGACAGAGTCTGTTTTCAATGCTGGCTGCTAATCTTAGACCCTGCATCGAGCGCGGCAGCTCCAAAAAGCATCAGCAGAAACCATATCAACCACTTCACGTGGAAGCAAAGCGTTTCCAGGTTCATCTTCGTAAGTTTTCTATATTTAGAAAGTTTCGAATCCCTCACGAATTCGTTTTTGTATGCCATTGTTCCACGGTTAGGGAGCTGGCACCTGCCTCCGAGCCACGCTGCCTCATTCTGCCCGCATTACAGGTGTTCTTCCCTAGTGAGCTCATTGAGTTTAAGGCGCATACCTGCAACTTTCTCTATGAGTTAGGTCTGAATATTAATGCATGTTCCCGACTTCTTGTCTCCCATTTGCCACATTTACAGGAAAGCGCAGCTTGTGATTGTTTACAATGGCAGAAACGCCGCAGCAGGGGAACAAAACTGGCACACAGGATTTTAAAGCACTCTCAGTGATTGGAGGCGGATCTCTGCTCTTGGAAGTTAAGGGGGAATTCACTGTGCCAAATGTGAACTCGAAGGAAGAGTTGAGGGAACTGCTCTCGCTTAGAAAGTGTTCGCTAGATCTTCGAAATACTGAGATTCGCATGAGCGACAAAGTGCGAAAAGAGGTTTGCGAGGCATTAGGAGTGAAGGAGAACGTAGGAGACGATACCTTGAGGTCCTGTATACTTCTGAATGGGTGCATCACCAAGGCCCCTGCTGGAACCAACGAGCTTGTCCGCTGCTTTCTACGCAGAGGCACAAGGGAACAGCATTTTAGTTTGGTCAGGGAGCTGGCTAGACGACGCAGAGCCGAGTTGGAGAAGGATGTGAGGAGGAGAGTTGTAGATGGGCCTCGAACTAAGACGGCGAAAAACTTGGCCGATTATCACTCCGATTATCATTCCGTCGACGCTGCTTCCTTGCACGCTGCCGATAACAGGAATATCGAAAATGACGGAGATACAAGAACTGCCGCCAGGGGTATGTCAGCGGCATTGGGCACTGCTGCCCATGTGGAAGAAGTGGCAGGAGAGGGGGTGAAGCCTGGCCGAACCAACAAAGCAGCAGGTGGCCGAAGTGCTCAGAAAGGGGGTAGCCTTTTACCGCAACCACATGAAGAACTCTACACGTTCCGATCAGCAACAACGGCATCCGAGTTGGGAACTTCCAGGAGGACGGAAGTAGATGCGTTGAGATGATCAAACTGGCAGCCGCTGTAGATATGTTTCTGCTTTTGCACCCTTCTCCCGTGGCGAATAATGAGCAGTTTCCTTATGCCAGTAGATGTATGTGCAAGCCGCCTATGCATCTGGAAGTTAAAGGATTGCCGGTCGTTGGAGGATTTATGCGATGCGCTTTTGGTATGTTGAGGCCTGCGCGTCGGTGACACAATCCACACGTTATTCTCATGACCTTAATCTACGGAGTTATGTTAACTTTAGTATTATTTACGTCTTTCGACTTCCTCTTGCGGGAACAAGTGTTAACATTGAACGAGTATTGCGGTATTCGAAAAAATTAGTGATATACCCTGGTGAAGCACTCAGGAGCATCCCATTTGATACTGCAGTTTTTGCAACAGAGTTTTCTCATTGCAAAGTGGTTTGTGTGCGTGTCGAGAAATTTGCAGCTCCTCCTTTTGGTGTGCGTGAGAATGTATTTAAAATGTGCCTTAAATTTTTGCGCGCATAGGCCGACGAGCAACGAGATAGGATTCAATACAGACAGGCGGAGGAGACATGGACCACTTACTGATAAGCGACTCCTGGTGCTTAAGTTTTATTTCAGCGAAGTCTGCTTTACTACGCAGTTGCCCATGTTGGGATAGAATGTATGCAGAGTGCGCGAGTGTGCGAAGGACCGAGTTAAGGAGGGCATGGAGAGTGGACATGTGCGCGGAGCAATGCATTTGTGCCTTTTGTAGTTGTGTTGGGATGATTGTGCAGCTTTGGTCGCATTGTCCAGCTCACGCGAGGGGTAGTGAGGAGTACTTATTTTGCACCTCGCCGAAATGCAATTTGAAGGAAGTCGAAAACAGAAACAGATCGTAACTAAGCGCGCAGTTGCGTATGCGTACATTCAGATTCATACGGTGTCTTTGCCGTTCGATACTGTATTGATGCCAGTGCGGTGATACCTGTACACTGGTACTTCTTGAAATTCTTAGAGGAGTTCCAAGCGAATAGAGCTTTTTTTTGAAGAACGGATGCAGCAACATAAATGAAGAACGCCTTTGGAAGAACAGAGCCAGACGCTTCATAATGAAGGCTGCATCATGCCTTTGTTGGGAATTGTTAAGGATCTGTGTATGTGCATCATTAGGCAGTGCTACATATTTGCATGCACCGACATCATGAGAGGACAACACAGCCTAGTGTGGTAGGATTTGCATAGTTCATATTGTGAAAGAATCAGTTGGCGGCTTGCTGTGAGAGTGACACGATTCGTTATCCGAGCCGCTCGTTATGCACCAAAATTCATATTCAGTGGCTGGTGACGTAGTTGAGGTCTTTGGTCCATTTTATCTGGGCATTTCTTGTTGACTTCCTCACTGGTGAAGCTTTATTAGCGGTCACTGTTTGCTTAGCTGCTCTAGTACTGAGCAAGCTCTTTCCAGCGTTTTGCGGTCAAGAAAATGTAGCGGGAGGCAGCTACCCGTCCTGTGCCCGGTAGAGTGTGGAAGCTCTACTGGAGTTTAAATT